CTTACAGGCACCATCTCATTAAGAGGCTATAACTACCATAAATAAATATGTACCCAACACCGGAGCGCCTAAATATATAAAGCAAGATTAACAGGTCTGAAGCAGAAAACAACAATACAACAGCAGTGCATCACTTCAGTGCCCTGCTGCCAACAATGGAGAGGTCGTCCAAGCAGAAAATCAATAAGGAAGCACTAAGACTTAAACTACAATTTACCAAAAAGACCTAATAAGTAAAGATCATATCACCCAACAGCTTCAGGATAAACATTCTTCTCTAGCTTACACATGGAATATTCTCCAGGATAAACCATTTGTTAGACCACAAAAAAAGTCTTAACAAATTTAAGACGATTAAAAGAAAACTACTTAGTCTGACCACAATGGTAAGAAATTAGAAATTGGAAACAAGATGAAGAAACTCAAAAATTCACAGATTTGTATTGCATAACACTACGTAAGCAATGGAGCAAGGAAGAAATCGAAAAATAAATTTTAAAAATATTTTAAATAAATAAAAATTAAAATATATTACTACATAACAGATGCTGCAAGAACAATGCTGAGAGAAATTTATAGCAATAAAGGCCTGCATAAATATCTCAAATAAACACTATAAACTTCACATTTAAAGGAATCAGAAAAATTATGTCCAAAGTTAGTAGAATGAAGAAAATAACAAAGATCAGAGAAGAAACAAATGGAACACACACACACACACACACACACACACACACACACACACTCACTCACAAAGTTTTTGAGAGGTCCTTCATCTTTCTGGAGCTTCCTACCCTGATCTTTCAGAGTAGCTATCTATCTCCTCCTTTTACTCCCTTTCCAATAACATATCGAATAAAATATCTTCCTTTTCTTAAACGTTTTTTATAAGTTTTTTTAAAGACAATAAATAAGCTTCATCTAGACTAAGAAACAAAGATAACTCAAAATCTGAAATGAAAGAGCCATTATATCTCATACCACTGAAATATAAAGAATCATAAGAGATTACTATGAACAATTATTTGCAAACCAGCTGAATAAATTCCTAGTGATGCTCAACTTATCAAGATTCGATCATAAAGAAGCAAAAATTTGAATATACTAACAATGTGTTAGAAGATTAAATTAATGATTGAAACATTTTCCATCAGAGAAAAGCTTAAGACCCGATGGCTTTAAATTCTACCAAACAGGGGC